CTTTGCGCCAATTTAAAGGGCTGCCGACGGCATGTGTCGATCCCCCCATCAACAAATTGGCAAGTAGCCAACAGGGCAGAGAGGGCGCCCAGGGGAGAGGCGCAGAGACATTTTCTTTCCAGCGCGTAACCGATTGACGTATGCCGCCCCTATCCCTTTAAGAAACTTGCACAAAGCCACGCCATGGCTGCCCGTAGTGGTACCGAATTTTATTTTGTAAATAGCGGTGCTTTTCTACATTGCTTTTAACTATTCCTAAGCATAAAAACTTTACAAATTTGAATTAAAAATTTATTCTTAGTTTGGAAAATGATTTTTTCGACCCAAAATGACCAAATTATCGACTTTGTCAAAAATTTTCCTAACTTTTTTTAAGACTCCCTCTACCTTTACTTTAAATATAATTATAACATAGTAGAAACTATGTCAAAACACTTTAATATCCGATTGCTAGGCCATCCGGGGCCGCCAGGGAAAAAGTTGGTTCCCCCCTTCCGCGGAAATCTTAAGGAACCACCCAAAACACTCATCGGTCCGGGACGCGACTTACAAATGTTAGCAAATTGAACGAGCTGTGTCGTGGACCAATTTTATGAAATAGTGATGGATGTTGCTTGAATGTTATCTCGTGAAAACATAGCGAAGTTTCTGTATTTAGTTCGGGCCAAGTTTGCGATCCCACATCAAATCTTTATTCGTCTACGATCACCCGAATTTCGATCAAATTTTATTGGCGGTGAATCACCATGGTGCTGCTGTGCGCCGGGTTGTACTCGATGAAGTTGTCGTCTTTGCGCTCCGGTTTTTCGTCATCGGCATTCTGCGCCTAAAGCACGTTTGGCCAAAGCGTTGTTTTCCTGCCTTGAAGGTGGCGGGGACAACTCGGGACGTGGACGACGTGTAAAATACCCCTAGTGACGTGAAAAATACCCCTAGTGACGTGAAAAATACCCCTAGTGACGTGTAAAATACCCCTAGTGACGTGAAAAATACCACTAGTGACGTGAAAAATACCCCTAGTGACGTGAAAAATACCCCTAGTGACGTGTAAAATACCCCTAGTGACGTGAAAAATACCCCTAGTGACGTGAAAAATACCCCTAGTGACGTGTAAAATACCCCTAGTGACGTGAAAAATACCACTAGTGACGTGAAAAATACCCCTAGTGACGTGAAAAATACCCTAGTGACGTGTAAAATACCCTAGTGACGTGTAAAATACCCCTAGTGACGTGTAAAATACCCCTAGTGACGTGAAAAATACCCCTAGTGACGTGTAAAATACCCCTAGTGACGTGTAAAATACCCCTAGTGACGTGTAAAATACCCCTAGTGACGTGTAAAATACCCCTAGTGACGTGAAAAATACCCCTAGTGACGTGAAAAATACCCCTAGTGACGGGTAAAATACCCCTAGTGACGTGTAAAATACCCCTAGTGACGTGTAAAATACCCCTAGTGACGTGAAAAATACCCCTAGTCCTACTCCTACTATATATAAAAAAATAGTGTTTGTGTGTGTGTGTGTGTGCATTTGCATGCAACTTCCGTCACCGTGTTCCAGTAGTATCTCAAGAAGGGAAGTACTTAGGGGTATGTTCGATACGTCATTAGGTACGTAATGGGCTGGAGATGACTGCACACATATTAGATTTTACAAAATATGCTGTTTTCGACATTAAAATTAAGTTTTTCATGGAAAATCGGACACCCCACTTTGTTAGGATAAAATTAGCATGCACCGGAAGTCGCGGTAGCCTATATAAAGGGAGGGAGAGAGAACTTTTCATTTTTCGTCATCCGAATCCGCGAAAATTATGTAAAGCCAAGAATATCATGGGGGCAGACGGGGCCAGGGTTGAAAAGTCGCGAAGCGGCTTTTCAACCCTGGTGACGTGTAAAATACCCCTAGTGACGTGAAAAATACCCCTAGTGACGGGTAAAATACCCCTAGTGTCGTGAAAAATACCCCTAGTGACGTGAAAAATACCCCTAGTGACGTGTAAAATACCCCTAGTGACGTGAAAAATACCCCTAGTGACGTGTAAAATACCCCTAGTGACGTGTAAAATACCCCTAGTGACGTGTAAAATACCCCTAGTGACGTGAAAAATACCCCTAGTGACGTGTAAAATACCCCTAGTGACGTGAAAAATACCCTAGTGACGTGAAAAATACCACTAGTGACGTGAAAAATACCCTAGTGACGTGTAAAATACCCCTAGTGACGTGTAAAATACCCCTAGTGACGTGTAAAATACCCCTAGTGACGTGAAAAATACCCCTAGTGACGTGAAAAATACCACTAGTGACGTGAAAAATACCCCTAGTGTCGTGAAAAATACCCCTAGTGACGTGAAAAATACCCCTAGTGACGTGTAAAATACCCCTAGTGACGTGAAAAATACCCCTAGTGACGTGTAAAATACCCCTAGTGACGTGTAAAATACCCCTAGTGACGTGAAAAATACCCTAGTGACGTGTAAAATACCCTAGTGACGTGTAAAATACCCCTAGTGACGTGAAAAATACCCCTAGTGACGTGAAAAATACCCCTAGTGACGGGTAAAATACCCCTAGTGTCGTGAAAAATACCCCTAGTGACGTGAAAAATACCCCTAGTGACGTGTAAAATACCCCTAGTGACGGGTAAAATACCCCTAGTGACGGGTAAAATACCCCTAGTGTCGTGAAAAATACCCTAGTGACGTGAAAAAATACCCCTAGTGACGTGTAAAATACCCTAGTGACGTGAAAAATACCCCTAGTGACGTGTAAAATACCCCTAGTGACGTGTAAAATACCCCTAGTGACGTGAAAAATACCCCTAGTGACGTGTAAAATACCCCTAGTGACGTGAAAAATACCCCTAGTGACGTGTAAAATACCCCTAGTGACGTGATAGTGATAATTTTCAATTTTTTAATCTATCCCGATGTTGGCAGAGGCAAAAATTTCTACGAATTTTCGGATTGAAAAGCGAAATTTATGCCTTTACGTGTCCTACTCTTTCAGCATAAACATATTTTTTCAACGGCTCGATATTTTCTGTCCCCTTACCCATCTTTCTTGCCCACCCCTAATTTTCAATTGTCATGCGTCTGGGATCTCCTTTTCTCGTCGATTTTCGAATTTCTAAAGCTTATTGATTGCCATGAAATTTAAATAAGGCTATGCCATAAAATAAGAGAGAGAGCGAGAGAGAGAGAGAGAGAGAGAGAGAGAGAGAGAGAGGGAGCGAGAGAGATAATACACATTTTCCCCCTTCAAAAGCATTTATTCTTTCCAACAAACAACGATATACAAAGCGAGAGAATTAGCGAAACGGGGGTGGTAGAAAATGCGAGATCAAGTGTAGTTTGGTTCTTCTTTTTAATTGGCGTTGATGGGAGGCAGGAGAGGGGAGCACGAGGGGAGCACGAGAGGGACGAGAAGGACGAGGGGGGCCCGAGGACACACTTCAGCGCTTCTTCTGCTTCTGCAAGAAAAGTCTCTAATAAAAAATAGTAAAGTATGTTTCAAGCCGAAAAACAATAGAAAAAATCCAGAAAATTCAAAAGTCGTGGCTTACGATGCTCTTCTTGCTCTTTTTGCTTTTGTTGCCGCTGCGCGACTGCTCCTGGTATTTCGACGAGCGCGGCGACGGGGCAAACTGAAACAGGGAAATAATGGCTGATTAAAATTGTTTATTAAATCGGGTATCGTTTTTAATTAACTATTTTTTCTTCAAAAAATCCCACACCTTCAGGTCCTCACGCGTCGGCCCGGGCTCCTGCAATGGAATAGTAAAAAAAGTATCAGGTTAGAGGGCACTGAACTTTTGTATCTCGGCTCCCTGTTCATCTACAGGTGTATAAAGTATACCAAAATGTTCGCCTTGCCTTGGCGAGTATTTTGGTATACTTTACGACCCGGTACGATGACGCGGAGCCGAGATACGGTAGGTGGTGGTCGGCTGGGGGGGGGAGGGGGTGTAAAGTGAATTAGAGCGAATTTCCGCCCCCTACATCGGCATTGTCGGCGGTGAGTGGTGGCGGGCCGTGGATCCGGATCGGGTCGTGGTCCATCAGCTTCAGCTGCTCCTCGCATTGGCACCGCTTCGCGCCGCCCTTCACCTGAAGAGAAAGCCAAAATTGGCCAGTCAAAAATGAATGTTTCCGCGCTAAATGGTGAAAAATAGCAATTACTGACCCGTAAATACCACAAAATTTTTCTTTTTAAAATTAGATCGTAAAAACAGGCGAGCGCCATACCCAGGCGGCGTGCTCGGCCTCCGTCTCGAAATCGTAGCGATCCGTCATCTTCACGCGACATCTGCAATTACAGTACAGTGGCATTAATTAATTCAAGTAATTAAATGCTATTAATTTTCAATTAAATTAAAGGCATTTAGTTTATTCAAGAAATGCTATTAATTCAAGGCCATTCAGTTGCACCAAATTTGTAAAGATAAATTTTGGTGTTTCTAAAGCCTAAATAACGGGATCTTTAATCTACGTCTAACTTTCCAAGCCCAAACCTAAGCCAAGCTCTAGACTAAGCTTACCCTAAACCTAAGCCAAAGCCTAAGCTAAGCCTAAGCTAAGCCTAAGTCTAAGCCCAAGTCTAAGCCCAAACCAAACCCAAGCCTAAGCCCAAACTTAAGCCCAAACCGAAGCCAACCCCAAACCTAAGCCTAAGCATGCCCAAGAAAGCCAATTTTCTGCAGCTGCAGTACCTCTTCATGATGGCGAGCAGCCCCTCGTAGACGGTACGGTAGTTTGGGCGCGAGTAGAACGTCAACAGGCGCAGCGCTTGGAAGTTGCCGTCGAGTTCGGCTGCAAAGCGGTACTTTAATTTACCGTACTTTACGTACCTGGCAAAAACTTGGCGAGCTCGCCGGGGTGCTCCTCGAAGTAGAGCTTCTTCGACGAGATGTCGTCCTTGTCTGCAAAATCATGTATTTCAGGGGATACGCGAAGAGGTTTCGGTTCTGAACTTTTAGCAGGGGTGAACGAGCATTTCCAGGTAATTCCCCCCTGCTAACACCCCAGTACCCCCGCAAATGCCTTTGTACCGTACTTTTGTCCTCCTGCCACGGTAACCCCGAGTGCAGCTCGATGAACATGAACAGCAGCGAGTAGATGTCATCACGGCGGCCGAGGTCCTCATCCCGATGCATATTTGGTGACGCGTAGCGGTAGGTGCCGCGGAAGTCGATGCGCTTACGCGCCCGTCGCGCCTCCCATTGGCCACGCGAGCGGAGGGCGTAGCTTCTGAAAAGAGGCGCGCATTAATGGTAGGGAGGGGTGAGAGAGAGGGGGAAAGAGAGAAAGAGAGAATGCGAGAGAGAGAGAGAGAGAGAGAGAGAGAGAGGGTGAGACCGAAGAGTGTAGCGCTAATAAGCAATTCGGTCACTTAAATATGCCCTACAAAAATTGTTGACGCTAACAGTTTTTCGAAACATAAAATTTTGAGGTATGGCGGGTGCTGCAAACAGGAAGGCTGCAGCGCGGAAAACCGACCGCGCGAGCCCAAAGTCGAGGATGTGCAGGATGCGGTACTTGGCCGTGTTGTCGCTGTGGCCAAACACGATGTTCGTCGGCTTGATATCACGGTGGACGAAGCCGCAGTCGTGCATCAGCTGAAATAACGTCAGATTCAAGAGGTCCTCAAGGATCCCAGCTAGCACGCCACCCCTCCCCAACACTCCGTACCTTTAGTGCGTGTAGCGACTGTATGCCCCATCGGCTCCAATCCCTCTCGGGCACCTGGTCGTTCGGGTACATGTTCTTGATACCCTTCAGGTTCCGCCCCAGCAGGTCCATCACCATGTACACGTATCTGCAGATTAGACTCTCTCTTGTTCTCACTCTTTCTCCCTCTCACTCTCTTTCTCTCACTCTCTCACTCTCACTCACTCTTTCCACCCACTTGATGTGCTTGCGGGCGAAGAAGTAGTAGGGGAAGTGCGGCATCCCGCCCTTCGGGTTGATTTGCCCGAGGACGTTCGCCTGAAAGAGCAGGCAGGCTAGCAGTGATTTTCAGGGAATGGATACCTCGAGCTTAATGGCCGATCCGCCCTCCATGTCCGTCGCCTCGACCTTCAGCGCTGCGTAGCGGTTCTCGTTCTCCAGGTCGAGCACTTTGTATACGCGGCCGAAGCCGCCCTCGTCCAACTTCTTCACAATCTGCCAGCGCTTGCCGATCCTGGGAATATGACTATACGTGTGTACTGCACTTTGCTAGAGTACGCAGGAGTACTGTTCTGTACGCAATAGTACGCAGAAGTACAATACCGTACGCTAGATTACGCAGGAGTACAATACTGTACGCTAGACTACGCAGGACTACTGTAATGTAGTGTACGCTTCAATACACTACACGCTACCGTAACGAAAGTGTACACAATCGTACGCTAGAGCACGCCACAGTACGCCATGCGTTAAAGTAACGAAAGTGTGCTCAATTGTAAGCCAATGTACGCAGGAGTAACGTACTTGCAAAACTACAGTGCCCAATAGAATGCTACTCTACGTTACAATACACAAGATTACCCTAAAGTACGCCAGAGTACGTTGCGGATAATTTACGTTACCGTAAGCTGCAATTCGCTACCGTACACTACAGTACACTCCGCTACGCTACGTTACTACTCCCACTTTCTTCCGTCCTTGAATCGAATCATCCCATGGGAGTCGTTGTCCATCGATTTGTCCTCTTTCGGGTTCTCGTCGCCCATTTTCGCTGAAATTCGGCATTAATCAGAGGGCTTGCGTTCAGGGTTAGGCTTCAGCGTCCGAATTGTGTGAAAACTTCTTCAAAATTTTTCGCATTAGCATAACTCACCGATTTAAATGTAGCCAATAGAAACAGTGGAATAAGGTAGAAATGCTCATTCAGAACCCTGGTTCTTTTTTAAGGGTCGCGTCCTATGCATATTTTTTGGACTTCCGGATTTAGATTTTTGTATTATCAGCCTCCTTAAAATACTATGGCAATCAAGATACAGGGTGTCCCATAAAAAAGCACCCCTCGGGCATTTCGCCATATTACATCCGATCGGTCCGAAATTTGGACCAGAGGTGTATCAGACCCTAAATAACCACAATCCTGAGTTATAGCTCGCCAGCTACAGTAATCTTCGAGATACCACAAAAATAAACTTTATTATCCGTTTTTCATATGGTTTTCGTCGAAATCGACCCTTCGAATATTCAGTGAAAATGAAGCGGCAAGCCTGCTTTACCTCTAGAGATTTTTTTCTGATAAAAATTAGTAAAATAACCGTTGATTTCAACAATTTTTGTAACGCAAAGTCACCCCTGATATTAAGCGAAATTCGGGATTCACAGCCGGAAGTCGATGCAAATCGATGCAAAGTGCAAAAAGATAGCCGAAAAAACTGCTTAGAATTGCGTGAAAAACAGTATTTTGGCGATAACTCGAAAACTACTGCAGCGATCGGGCTATAAGTAAGGATTGTGGTTATTTAGGGTCTGATACACCTCCAGTCCAATTTTGGGACTGTTTGGATGTAATACGGCGAAATGCCGGAGGGGTGCTTTTTTATGGGACACCCTGTACTTTACAATTAGAAAAACAAAAAATCCCGGGATTAATGACATGAAAATTAGGAGGGTAAGTGTCTCGAAGACTTTCTGCTAGCTTGCCCTCCTCTCGGGGTCCGCCCATTTCCTCAAACAATCGCTGCTAGCCGGCCCTCCTCTTCTCTTTCAACTTTTCTAAACAACGTTTCCTGGACAACAAATTTTCATTTCCCGGCGAGTAACCAGCTTCAGAAATCACGTGATTTTTTACTGGTTTATTAACTTTTTAGGATGCCGTTTTTCAGTTTTTTAAATTTGCACGCCTCGATGCCAACAGCTCCCATTCGGATCGGGTAGGCCCCTTTACTCTCACTCCCCCTCCCTCTCTCTCTCTCTCTCTCTCTCTCTCTCTCTCTCTCTCTCTTCTTAGGTAAATAAAATTTATTCAGGTGCAAATCAAGTATAGAGCAATCAATATATTAATTCCTGAGATCACCAGCAAAACCGACCGGGGGACAACTTCAGAAAAATGACAATTTGTGCAGCAAGTTAGCATCTTAAAGGGGTGAGCATGACTAATATTGGAAACATGACACACGGGGGAAAGTCATGACTAGATTAGGGGGAACTCGAAAATAGATGACTATGAAAGGATAAACTATCGTAATCGACTGCCGCTATCCAAGGTGGCCGCAGATGTAGTTGTGCAACTGGAAAATCGCAAATATGAGCACGAGAAACTCAAATTAAGTTTGAGCTTAGGCTTGGCTTAGTCTTAGGCTTACTTACCCCTATTGCCGTAAATGCAGATAGAACGATCCCAAAGGCGTCCGACATCGAGGCGATCGATAAGGAGTACTCCTTGACGTCGGGGGGTATCTGAAAAACGGTGTTAAAGGGGTTAGGAAGCGGGATTCGGCTATGTATTTCAGGTCAGAATGACCGAAGCAATGTGTTTTTGAAAAAAATTAAAATTCCTACATTCTTATGAATCCAGTTGAACGTGTTGACGTAGCTGGCGCCGCCGTAGAAGCCCTCAACCAGGATCAGGGCAAACACGATCGAGATGTGCGGCAAGAAGGCGTACCTCGCCTCGAAGAAGAAGAACACCGCGTTGCCGAGCTGGAAGAAAGCGGTCGGAGAGAGAGAGAGAGAGAGAGAAGAGAGAGCTTTTTCTAACCTGCAATATTGGCAAAATAAACAGCACAATCAACGGCAACTCGATGATGTTGACCGACGAGCGGGAGAAGAACACACCGACTTGGTACAGGACCTAACACGATTTTTAGCTTGTTTCGTTTTCTTATTTCTACCTGATACCACCGATATTGGCTGCTCTTCGACAACCGGAAGCCCTCCTTGCAGTTGAAGTAGATGAGCTGAGTCTGAAACAAAGAAAAATTAATTTTTAGGGTAAAACTGACCAATCCCTGGTTAATGAGGTATTCGGCAAAGTAGACGACGGAGAGCGGGATCATCAACTTGAGCAAGGGCTAAAATAGATGCTCTGTCGCTGTTTCTCGCTCTCTCTGTCTCTTTCTCTCACGCTCTCGCTTTCTCTATCTGTCTCTCTCTGGCTCTCTCTCTCTCTCTCTTTCTCCAAAAACTCACCACAATCAAGCTCATCTTCTCCTTCATGTTGGTTACGCGCTGCGGGACCCGAGCGTCTTGCTCACTCTTTTCTAGAAATTAAAACAAATGAGGAGTTTTTATCTGTCGCTTTCTCTGCCAATTTCTCTCTCTCTGTCTCTCTCTCTCTTTCTCTCTCTCTCTCTCTCTCTCTTTCTTTCTTTTCCTCTCTCTTGTTCTCTCTATCTCTCTCTCCCTCTCTCTCTCTTTCTCTCTTTCTCTCTCACCCAAAAACTAACCACTCTTTTCCATGTCCTGCTCGCCCTCGTACGCCTGAAAATATTTTCTTTTTTTACAGTTTACAGTAATTTTCTCAACGTAATTTGGAAAAACGTACATGTGGTATGACCCATGTGGTCGGGCTGACGCGAGGAGTGTATACGGTAGCCGGGAATTCTAGCAGGAGCCAGTAGGCTATGGCAAAGATCACGGGAATTACCTAAGATCGAGCATTTTTGGAGCTTTTGAGCATTTTAAAGGGACGTTCAAGGTCCCGGAAGGCAACAACGTTATGGATTTTCCTTCCGGATACATTGAACCTCCTGGAAAAACTTGCCAGCATGACCAATAGAGCATTTTTCGGTGAAAGATTTCCGAGATGTGGTTCGGTAAGTGCAGCGTATGCGAAGGAGCCTGAAAAATAAAACTTTCATTAGGGCACCATAAGCCTACGCCTGAGCCTAAACCGAAGTAAGCCTAAGCCTAAGCTTAAGCCAGACCTAAGCCTGAGCCTAAGCCTAAGCCTAAGCCGGCACAGATTTTTCAAACTTACCAACCACTCCCGCTCCTCCAGTCCCAGAAGACCAAGCCGAGATGACGTTGCGTGAGAAGTGGGAGGACAGTGAGAGGTACGTCGTCTCACCCACCCCGGAACCAGCAGAGGCGAGAACGACACCTGGAAGTCCAAATATCATATCGTCATTGGATACAAAACAAGCTATAAGTTCTAAAGCTAAGCTCGAAAACTCGGGCTCAATGGGAGAGAGAGAGAGAGAGAAACTGAGAAAGAAAGAGAGGAAGCATAGAGTGAAGCTTCACGGCTTCAAAAGCTTACCAAGTAATGAAATCGGGTATGAAGTCGAGAAGGCGACGACGAGATACGAGGCAATTTGTAGAGCTATCACCAGAGTGTGGCGGAATCTGGAAAAGTGTAGCGTTTTTGGAAGGGACCAAATGCTCTGTCAGACCGCAACGCTTTTAATTCAATATACCCATATGGCACTCTTCCCATCAAAAATGGCATGGTGGCCTTGATGATCAGGGAGGGGAGGATGTCGGCGAGGAGGACACCACCGACTGATTGGCCATCACAGGCTCGTGCCCCAAGGCTGTCCTGAAATTCGGGATAAAATAGAGAGAGAGCGTGAGAGAGAGCGAGAGAGAGAGAGTGATAAAACTTACCAAACAAGATGAATTCTTGTGCTCCGATTCCTTATGTTGCTGCTGCGAGATAATGTCCTCGGCGGCGCTCAACATGATCACGTAGCCATAATTGTTACATAAACCGAATATCCTGAAAAATTGGAGATACCACTTCTCTCTCTATCCATTTCTCTCTCGTTTTCTCTCTTTCTCTCTCTCGCTCTCTCTCTCACGCTCGCTCTCTTTCCCACTCTCCGTCTCTCTGTGCCTCTCTCGCTATCTCTCGCTCTATTTATCTCTCTCTCATTCCTCTCGCTTTCTCCTCTCTCTCTCGCTCTCTCTCTCTCTCTCTCTCACTGTCTCCCGCTCTCTATCTCTCACCAAAAAGCGACAATATTCCTCCACATCGACGTGGAGCCCCACTTGGCTGTCATCGCTGGAGCTGCCTGATTAGAGCCGTTTTGAATTTGGTTTCTAAATGTCTAAACTTAATTAGGTAAGGTTATAATCGAATTGGCTAAAAATAAAAATTGAGTAGGGCAAGCTAGCAAAGAACATTTGCGCATTGAAGAAGCGGGTGTGTGGTGTCTGGCCATACAGCAGGCTGCCTTGGCTACTTATCAGCACGGCCCAGCCACCCTCAAAAAAGCAATTCCGTTTTTTTCTAGGCATATTAAAGGTTGGAGGAATGTTGGAGGAGGTGGAAATGGAATTTGGGAGTATAGGAACAGATTAAATTGCTAGAAATCACTCTCTCCCTCTCTCTCGCGCTCTCTCGCTCTCTCACTCTCTATCACCCTCTCGCTCTCTCTCTAACTCACTATCATCCCCCTCTCGCTCGCTCTATCTCTCTCTCCCGCTCCCGCTCAGGCTTAGGCTTAGGTTGGACTTAGACTTAAGCTAAGGCTTAGGATTAGGCTTGGGCTCCCTTGGGGTTAGGCTTGGGCTTGGGCTTAGGCTCAGGCTCAGGCTTAGGCTCAGGCTTAGGCGTTGGCATACGGTTGGCTTGGATTTTTTCGACTGAATTCCGCGATTTCGAAAAAAATCTGCAGTCCATCTGGCTCAACGCCCCGATTAGCAAAAATTTAGGTGAGAGGCTGGCAAAAAGCAAAAACGGATCCGGTGGAATCAGAAGAACCAGCCGCCTCGGACAAGAGGACACGGCTACCTGACTGATAAAGACATGGTGAAGCCGGGGTGGACAGGGTGAAGAACAACTGGCCACCCACTTTGGCACGTGGCGACGCAGATTTTGGAAAAATTTTCCGGTTTTAGAAGTGGATAGACGATCTTCAAAATTTCACTGAAAAAGCCTAGCCCCTTGAAAAGCTGCCAAAATTTCGCAATAGACTCGATGATGCTAAAAACAAGACCAATCCAATGAACGGTAATCCCCCGGCTAGGGAAACCCGGTAAACAATCTTGATCGAAAATGTTAATAGAGATCACGAAGGGGGGAGATGTTGACAAAAACCCGGGAAAAATGATCGAAAATAGGTCAATCGAGACAAGAAGTTCGGCATATGAAACCAGATTTAGGCTATTACGCCTAGACTTTTTTCACTTTGATTTATCTAATGTTTCATGCTTAAAAACTCTTCAAGGCGTCTTTAAACCGCAAAAAATCGCACCCAGCGCTCACGGTATCAGCCACTTTTAAACCTATAGATTTGTCTTCAATGGTCCTTTAAACCACACAAAATTAGCAAAAAACATTTGATAAAATCAGGAAGATAAGAAATTCGTGTTTTCTAAAGGTATCGGCAACTCATGAAAGCTATAGATTTCGCTTCAACCCTCCTTTAAAGCTCAGGAAATCCGAGATATAGTCGAAGAAAATTAAGCAAATAGTTAAGCTCGTTTTTTCAAGGTACGGGCAAGTGTAAACCCCGTATAGATCTGGCTGCAATGGCCCTTTAAAACATACAAAATAAAAATGAAACTTTTAACAAAAATTTAATTGGGGATTCACAGCGTTCTAAAGGTAAAGATTTCATTAAAATGCATAGCTTTAGCTTTAAGGGTCCTTAAAAAGGCACAAAAAACCGAATTTATGTCTAAATAAAAGAAAATCCATATAAAATCATTTGTAGCGGAAATCGTTAAAATGCATAGAGTTCGCTTCGACGTCCCTTTAAACCCGCAAAGCTCAAAATTTCTATCAACCAAATATATGACCCACAACGAAAACTCATGGATTTCCCGTTCAATGGCCCTTTAACCCCCTCAAAAACCATAGATAAAACTGTTGAATCAGCTGAGAAAAGTGCAACAATATTCCCGTGGCAACCTTTTATACCTTTTATAGAACCCCCCTTCGAATCACCCCTCGCCCTCAAAAGGGCGCTTTTTAGAAAGTTGTATTGAATGGAGGTCAATTCCAAAAAGGAGATTCCCGGAATGGAATACAAGAGCGAGAAAGAGAAGGATAAGGTGGAAAAGCATTGTCACAGACAGTTCAGCGCAAATATTTGAGGGTCCTCCTCTCTTTTTGCTATGCTTTGTCGCGAATGGGGGGACCCATTTCAGAGCGCCAACAAGAAAAGCCAAAAATCGGAGTATTATCAGCTAAGGAGGGGGAGGGGGAGGCGCTTCCTAAAAACCGGGGAAAATAGATCGGGCGCCAATTTTTTTGGGCTAACAAATAGCAAAAAATTGTATATACTGCAAAGATATGAATAGGAATTTGAGAAGAGCCTAGGGTTTGGCCAAGCTAGCAGGGAACATTTAGGAAGGCACCCAGACCTGAAAAGCCAGCAGAGACCATTTAGAAAAAAACTCAGGTTCTGGCAAGCTAGCAATGGCCGTTTTGGACGATATTTGGGGGAAGTAGGCTAGCAGAGACAATTTGAGAGGAAATTGGTGCTTAGGCAAGCTAGCAGAGCCCATTTGGCATTAAATTCGGCTCGGGCAGGCTAGCAGAGACCATTTGAGCGGGAATTGACGTTTGGGTAGGCTAGCAGAAGGATTTGAGAACGCATGGGCAATGGTAAGCTCGCAGAGGCCATTTGGGAACAAATTCAGGGCTTCGCAAGCTAGCAGCAACCATTTAGAACAAATTCGGAACTTGGGGAAGCTAGCGGAGAGCATTTGGGAGCAATTCAGGTTTGGGCCGGCTAGCAGAAATCTGTTGGGAAAACAGCATTGGTGGGAGAGAGCGCGATAGTGAAAGAGTGAGAGAGAGCGAGAGAGAGAGAAAGAGAGAGAGAGCGAGAGAGAGAGAGGGGATGAGAGAGAGAGAGAGAGAGGAAAATCGTCTAAGAAGCCCAGCTGGCTTGCCCTCGCCTCTGAAAGCAAAAAGAAGCAAAATCGCCAAAATCCCGAAATGGTAACTTGTAACATCAGCTGATATACGTAACTGCTCTCTCCCGCGGCTACAATACCCTCCAAAAAACAGGGGGCTATCCCCGCCGGTCAACGGGAGCAAGGCCGGCCCCCGCCTTTTCAACGATAACCCCGAATTTTTACTGGTGTGTTGTTTTTTCTAGATTTGTCCCGACATTCCTAGGCCACGCCCCTTTCACCAAGCGTTTCAGCTTTCGCAAAACCCATCAAAAACTTGCAGCATTGGAATGTGAAAATTGAAGACTCCGTTCAGATGTGAAATCAAAAAATACAAGGAAAAAAACAGGTTTTCGAGCCGTTCACCGGGGAAGCGAATGGAAATCTATACCCTGAGAAATGGGGGCGTGAACTAGACGATTTTTGAAAGAAGGCATCTTTAAAGAATATCGATCAGGCGAAAAACTTATTAAGACAGGCTAGCAGGGATCATTTGAGAAAAAATGATACTTTATTATGCCCGACACAGTAAAAAGCGAGAGAGAGACAGAGAGAGCGAGAGAGTGGGAGAGAGAGAGTGACAGAGATGGAGGGAGAAAAGAGTGCGCAAGAACGAGAGAAACATAGAGAAAGGTAGGGTGAAAGAGAGAGGGAGATAGGGTGCGTGAGCGAACACGAGCGAGCACGAGAGATACAGACCACGAGACCGGGAGAGAGAGGCAGCGAACGAACGATAGAGAGAGAGAGAGAGAGAGAGAGAGAGAGCGAGGAGGGGCGCGGAGGCAAGCGAGAGAGCGAGTGAGAGTTCGAGTGGGCATGATTTATACAGAAATCGAGCATGAGAGAGCAATAGATCGAGAAAAATAAATCTTTGTTAATTACGGCTAAGCTGTTTGTTATTTTCTATCTAGTTATTTTCATTTATGATGTCGCCGCTAGGCATTCTATTCGATTGCGCTATCTAAAGCCCTATGACAAGGCATTCCGATCCCTTTATATGGGCCTCGACGATGCCATTCAGCTCTAAAATACAATGTCTAAAAATCGCTAAACCCTCTCAAATCTCGAGAAATGGCCTTGATATCGGATATCATGGCGGGCGGATCGGGGCGGAAAACAAAAAAATGGCCGGTGTTTGACAGTACTCCCGGGGGAGATCCATGGGGGAGATGCACCCCGCATGAGTCGGGCTCCGCCTGGAAAAGCCCCCGGAAGAGACAGAGGATTTCCTTAAAAGAACGCCCAAATATCGCCCATCCATCATTTTGATCCACAGCCGCCCGGAAAAGACTGTACGCGCCCATCCCCTTCCCCCTTCAACCTCCCCATCCACCACCCAGCCGTATGATCGACGGAATTTTGGGGACGTGTCATGGACAAAATTTGATGCCCCGAAAAGCACCCGTCACGTGGAGGGGTGGCTTTTAAAGGGTGCGGGAAGTCTGGGATTTGGATCGGCGCAGATTTTGCTGTACAGACGACGTCGTCTAATCATCAGAAGACACTGCCTGGGTGGCAAAATCGGCGTAACGAGTTGTGAAGTGGTTAGACGATACTGAACTTGTTGATGACGTCGCTGAGCCTGTTGATTCCGACGCTGGTGGAACAGAACATAATTTGGCCTCTAGATGATACTCGAGAACTTGCCGATAACGCCATCGAACCTGATGAGCATGTCCCTAGATTCAGAGCTGAAGTCTGATGAGGTTATAGACGTCGTGGCTGAGACTGTAGATGATTCTCCTGTGGTTGCGGATGAGATTATTGGAGACGATCGAAAGCATCAACCTCTAGATGACATCGCTAAACAGTAGAAACCCATTTTGAACACTGCTCAACTTCTAGATGACGTCGCCAAAGCTGTCGAAGGCCTTTTCCAGCCTGTAGACGACGTCTTTAAACCTGCTGATGACCTCACTAGTTTTGTGCTGCAATTCTTAACGTCTAGATAAGTTCGGGAAAGCAGTCGAAGCCCTTTTTGGACCGGTAGATGGCGTCGTTAAACCTGCTGATGACGTCACTGTTCCGGACGACTTGGTTAAACCTGTTGATGACGTCTGAATATCGGTGTAGACGGGGTCGCTCGAACGGCATATTTCTTGCTTGATATGAGCGTCAGCGAAATCACCAGAAATGGAAGTGGAAAACATGAAGCTTTTCATTGCCTCACTTCGATATCCCGAAAATGCATACGCAAACCAGAGCTCAAAAAACAGCAATTTTTCCTTCCGCTATCCCGTGTACATTGCGCAAAAGCACGTGCTAATGACCACTCGATCTCGCGCCCCGGCCTTTTGTCCGCAATTTTTGATTGGAACTGATGGTTGGATGGAATGGATGGATGTGGATAGGTTGTGATCAAAGAGAAAAACCGGTCGACCGGGGCCCCTGCCCCCGGTACATCATCACGGTTTCGGGTCACGCGGGGCGGACGGGTTATTCCGGGGACACCAGCGAGTTGCCGTCGTGTTTTTGCAACTATTAATGGGTACACGTCGTCATAATAAATAAAACTCAAAAAAGCAGAATATTTTTAGAAAAATTTTAGGTTTATTAGCACGTAGAAGTTGGCAGGAAAAGGAAATTTTCCATAAGGTTCCAAATTTTCTACTATAAATATAGAAAATGTTTTTCAATAGCATTTTCGCTAAACAAATAACGACGAAAAAACCAAAAATCGGAGGCAGGTTCTTTTGCATTATCGGGGGGGGGGCGGGTCATAGGGGGGACCGAACTTTTTTGAATAGGTCTAGAAATGCCTAAACTTAATAGAAAATGTCTTAATCATGTTTTTCGTAATATATAACTATTTCAACTAGAAAAACTGTCTAAAAACTTTCAAAAAAAATCGAAATTTTCGTAAAAATGTCCATTTTTGGTCGAAAATTCGTGATTTTTGATATTATTGACGCAAATTTGTAAAGTTTTCACGTTTACGAATAGTAAAAAAAGCGATTTAGAAACGCTTCGACGATAGATTGAAAAATTAGATCATAAAAAGGGCCCAAATCGACGCCAAAATGCCCGGCCGCTTCCGCCTGGCTGGAGCGAGCCGCGCGACTGACCGTAACTACCACCCAACCCTGCCATAAAAACCCGAAAAATGCCCAAAATTCAATGCCAAAATGCAAGCACGGTCTGGCAAACGATTAGCCCCACGTGGGCCCCCTAACCGACTGCTAAAAACACAGGTACCCAAATAACAAGTTTACATGCCGCAACCTAGGGCCGGTTGTTATTTTTTGGGCGATTCGGGGGTTTAATGTGTGCCCTTTGTTTTATGCAATGTGGGTTGTCTATCGGGCTCTTGTGGAACCGGTTTTGGACCGGAAAGGGTACGGTTTGGAGGGAGGGAAATACCCTAAAACAAGTTTAAAAAACGAAAAAACGAAAAAAAAAAAATAAATTTGGTAATTCATAGTTCTTAGACAATATTTTTCCCTGGCCTTCGTTCGCTCTCTTTCTCTCTCTCTCTCTCTCTCTCTCTCTCTCTCTCTCTCTCTCTCTCTCTCTCTCTCGCTCGCTCGCTCTCTCTCGCCCTACCCTGGGTTTGGTCATTTATCTGGTTCCCAAAAATCTCCGCTAGCTTGCCTGAGTTCCCAAATGGCCTATGCTAGTCTGCCTGACCCCAAATTGCGTCCTCAATGGTTTATGCTAGCTTACCTGAATTACCAGAATCCCCTAAATTGCCCCTGATGCTCCATTACTTCCCAAGCGGTCCCTGCTAGCATGCCCTGTCTCTCAAACCTTCCAAATGGTCTCTGCTATCTTGCCGGGTGCTCACTTCGTTCCTAAAGCATCTCTGCTAGTCTGCCCGGCGATCGAGACTTTCCGCAAAAGATCGCTGCTCGTTTTCCCCTCATACACCCTCATGTCCCCCAAAAAGTCGTGCTCCCCCAGTTTTCCCCGGCGGAACTCTCGGTATCGGGTCTGTGGGCTAAAAATCATGGCCTTTAGCCCACTCGATCCCGATTTTGCCCCGTCTCTCTCTCTCTCCCTCTCTCTCCCCATCCACCTCCTGGGGGTCTGTGGCTCACAACGTGGCCGGAGCTTCACCTCCTCCCCAGGGCAAGCTGTGCCGTCTTGTTGTAATATTTGGTTGGAGGGGGCGGTGCTCAGCTCATTCCTGGGCTTCTTGCGTCTGGGTATCTCTGCTCCCTCTCAATCCCCTCTGCTCTCTCTCCTGCCAATGGCCTGGGGCTGTGTTTCGGGGGGCCCTCCCCCAACTGAGCAGGAGGTCTGAGGAGCAGCAGCCTCCCTCCTCACTCCATTCGCTACACAACACGCCGCAATGGTAAGTCTTGGATTTTATAAAGATTTTGTGGTTAATTTTGGGGTTTTAATAGCTTTGGTAACATTTCCAGGGCTAGTTTTGCTTAGGTTTAGATATCTCAAGCTTTAAGGTATAATTTAAAGTGATTGTGTAGCCAAGATTCAGCTTTTAAAGGGGGTTTGAAGGTAGTATACTGCGTTTCAAGGGATCAGGAAGCCAAATTTAAGCTCTTAAGGATAAGGTTATACTTTTTAGATGACTAGGGAGCACGATTTAAACTTTTAAAGAGACGAAGAAGTTGATAGGTTCCTATTAATGGGCTGGGAATTCGATATATACGTCCTAAGAACTCTAGTAAACAATTTTATACCTTTTAAAGGGGCTGGGAAGTTTGCTACTAGCTCTTAAAGGGAGCTGGAAGTCAAAATATATCTTTTATGATATTTAGCTAGCAAATCTATATCCTGAAAGGGGGCTTGTAAGCCCTTTTAGCTTGAATTTTTGATGTAATTAAAAAACGTAGGAGGAGAAACTTTTGACTTGTAAATACCTTTCAAATTTACATAGATTTTGTCAATAAAACCCGTTAAAATATCCATGAAAATTCTAACCCTCCAATTCCAGGCCGAGGATATCGAAGAGATTTTGGCCGAAATCGATGGCTCCCAGATTGAGGGTGAGTTTTTGGCTTGGGCTGAAGCTTAAGCTTAGGCTTATAAAGCTATCATTAATGCGCCTTGTTTCAGAATACCAGAAGTTCTTCGATTTGTTCGACCGCGGAAAGCAGGGCTACATCATGGCCACCCAACTCGGCCAGATCATGAACTCGATGGAGCAGGATTTCGATGAGAAGGTGGGGGAATTTGATAGATTCTGGTTATTTATCTATCTCTTGCTCATTATCTCTTGCTCGCTCTCTCGTTCTCTCTCTCGCTCTCTCTCTCTCGCTCTCTCTCTCTGTCTCTCTCTCTCTCTCGTTCTCCCTCTCACTTTCTCCCATTTCTGCGAATTAATAGGTACATCTGAACTGACTCAAAATTCCAAAAAAACCCAATAAATTAAAACTACCGTATCGTAATAGGTAAACTACCGTAACTGTCCAAAATACTACAAACTACAGTAGTCCGTAGTTCCGTTAATTTCCGGAACATCTTCGAACTTTTCGCTTTTCCATCAATCGATCCCTCTGGACACTTATTTACCGAGCTTCATGTTTCTTCGAGGAGCATCAGCAACTGTCGCCCTCCACTGGGCATCTCTCTCTCCCTCTCTCTCTGTCACGCTCTCTCTCTCACCCAGCAGTTGCCTCAAAATGGAATGTGTAACTGAAGGTGGGGAGCATCGGTCGACTTAGCCGGATCTTCCCCACGCATTAAAAGTTAGGGGGGCATGAAATTAGAATACAAACTATAGAAAGATTTAATTGATTTTTAAAGGGATTGTGAAGTCAAAAAATTGTGAAGTCGGTTTCAACCTTTAAAAATTCAATTTTTGGAATTTTTAGATCTTGAGCACTTTAGATAAAAAAATTCGCATTGAAATAGTTTTATATACTTTTATACTTTTAATTATTTAAAATTTACTACGATTTTTATGGAGATCTCAAATTTTGCGAAATTTTCGGTATTTTCTATCATTTTTTACCGATTTTCCTTTATGGGTTTTTTAAATAAGTGCATAACGCTTAAATATACCGTAATTAAAACTATTATAACAAAAAGAAAGAATATATTTATCCCAATTCCAGACCCTCCGAAAACTGATCCGAAAATTCGACGCCGACGGCTCGGGCAAGATCGAATTCGACGAGTTCTGCGCCCTTGTAAGTCGAATTTGTATATGGAATTTCGGGCTATAAACCTGAAATTAAAAAAGTTTAAATATCGATATTTTAGGTGTACACTGTGGCGAACACCGTCGACAAGGAGACGTTAGAGAAGGAGTTGCGGGAGGCCTTCCGGCTTTTCGACAAAGAAGTCGGTTTTGCACTATTTTTTGGGTTGGGCAGACCAGCAGAGATTCTTTGGAAACCATCCACCTATTAGTGCTACTTTTGGCAACCTTCGTTTCAAAAAGCAAAAAATTTTGCTGGCCGAAGATCCGAACCCCCGACCCTTGGAGTGACAGCCTAGCGTGCTAACCAGTTGGCCACAGTGGAATTGGGTTTTGGGAGAGAGGGATTTTTAATTCGAGATAGAATTTAATTATTTAAGCATTTTTTTCAGGGCAACGGTTACATCTCCCGACCCACCCTGAAGGCCCTCCTGAAGGAGATCGCCGACGACCTCTCCGACGAACAACTCGAGGCGGCCGTCGACGAGATCGACGAGGACGGCTCGGGAAAGATCGAGTTTGAGGGTAAGTTGTGTATTAGGTTTTACAGCTTATAAAATACGTAAATATCGATTAGCCAGCTTTTAAAAGGACTGGAAAGACAAATTTTCCCGTCGATTTTACAAAAAAAAAACACAAAAAATTAGTTTCTCAACGTAAAAATCTTTTAAAATGTCAAGATTGCAGCAGCGCTCATTAGTAAATTCTGGCAACTATAATAAAGTATGACATTTTGGGAAAATCGTAGCTAAAAATGACAGAATTACGGTATGAAAGACCTGGATCCTCAGATTTTGTCAAAATTGGAAAATGATTACGGTAGCTAGGTATATTTTTGTCATAAATACACAAAAATGACAAGGTTACAGTAGCCAAACACTCAATTTTTTTTGTTCAAATCTCAAAAGTGACAAAATTGCAGTCTTCAGGCCTCAAATTTTCTCAAACACTCAAAAATGACGTTTACGGTAGCAAAGTTTTCATTTTTCTGACTAAAAAGCGTATAAATAGCACAAAAAATCAAGCAAATCTCAAGAATCACAAGGTTACAGTATCCCTGCTCAAAATTCTTCCTAAAAAACCCTCAAAAATGACATGAACAACTACCGTAATCCATACAAGAATTTTGTTTCAGAATTCTGGGAGCTGATGGCCGGCGAATCCGACTAAACACAAATTTGGCCGAGGGTACCCCCATGCCCGAAAGCTGCTTTTTGTCGATATTGGTGAGTTTTTATGGATTTAATTAGAGAGAGAGAGAGAGAGAGAGTGTGTGTGAGAGAGTGAGTGTGAGAGAGGGAGAGACATAGACAGAGACGGTGAGAGAAAGAGAGATAGAGAAAGCGCGAGGGAGAGCGAGAGAGATAGAGAGAGAGAGGGAGAGAGAGAGGGGAGAGAGAATAGAGAGAGAGAGGGAGAGAGAGATAGAGAGAGAGAGAAAGAGAGAGAGAGAGAGGGAGACAGCGAGAGAGAGCAAAAGCAGAAAAGCAAAAACAATATAGATTTTTTCCAGGTTTCCTCGTTCCACCACCTTCCACCTGGAATCTCCACCTGCTCTCCTCTGTATATTCTCCACTCCCGTCACCAACCCCCCACCAAAAAAGAAATATATTATGTTAATTTGTGCTCTTTTTTTAACCCGCGCGACCCCCCGCGTGTTTAATTTCTTTTTTTCTTCTCGAGACTGGTACGGTCTACCCGGATTTCAATAAACCCTCAAAAATCTAAATTTTTTTTGCTATTTACACCTGATTTACATACGAAAAAGGGAAGGAAACACTGAATTTAACTAAATCGTGAGCATCAGAGACCTGCACCTAATTTGCACACATAGAAAATACTGAATTTCCTTGAATCGCTAGCGTTATTGATTTAAACCTAATTTGCATGCAAAAAAAAAAATACCAAAGTTAACTACACCATGACGATTAGAGTGAGGGAGGCCTAGGCTAAAGCTTATGCTTGCCTAGGCTTCCTCAGGCTTTTCTAATTTGCATCGCCTAGGCTGAGCCTGGGCTATGCAAAGTACGCCTGACCTCTAATTAGTCAGGCTTTATCGGCAAATTTTAGGTAAAGTCATAGAATATTCGAAGTTTTGCCGAACAAATAAGGATTTTTTGAAACTTCCGGGGGGTCGAAGAGCTGTATTGGGTCCAAGAATATTTTACAAAGTTAGGGGACCGTTTTTGACAAACTTTACGGCACGATACGTTAATAGCGCGCGGATACACAGTCGGAGTCGGAGTCGGAGTCGGAGTCGGAGTCGGATCAAACGGGCGGGGGGATGCAATCGCTTCTCCTGATATCTTGCCGATATGTTTCCCACCTTCGGCATCCTTGTAATTTGTTATTGCGTCAAAGATACCAACGTTTTAGATGCAGTAACCAGATTAACATGTTTTTGCGCATTGCATAAAAAGCCTGCGTAAATCCTTAGGCTTCCGCCAGGCGTCGGCAGGCGCGGAAATGCAATTCGGCCCAATAAAGCCTGAGGAGGCCTGCCGCTCCCTCACTCTAATGACGATGATAGCGTTAGATTCATACTTAATTAACATACAACAAAGGTTAAAATAACCAAAAAAAATTGTTAAATTCCTAACATTGTTGATTTACACCTAATTTGCATACAAATATAGGATTGAAAATGCGGAATTTAATTACCCTATTAATTGAAGTGATTTGCATAAAAAAACATACAAAAATATGAATTTATTACTTATTAAAACCCTTCAAAACAAAAAAATACATATGGAAAAATTGTGACTAGAGAATAGACATGGATAGTATGTGTAAGAAATGCAAAGAGATTCGAGGCAATGCGAAGCGCGAAAGACGGGCGAATTTTGAGGGCAAATTTGGCGTAATTTGCATAAACTGAACTTTAAATAATATTGGAACTGAAATAAATCAATTTTAAATGGATGCCTGCTACTTAATTTTTTTATCTGAAGACAGAGAGTTAGAGAGAGAGAGAGCCAAGGAGAGCGAGAGACAGACAAAGAGAAAGAGGAACAGAATATTTTTCTCAACTAGAAACTACAACTCCTCAAGGCCGGTGATGAACAGCTTGTGCGAGTCGGACGGGCTCGTTTCCGAGCTTGACTTTGGCTTTGGGGAGCGAGCAATCCGGGGCTCCACGATGAACTCCCTGAAAAATTGGCATATGACTGTTTTTCGCTATTTTTTAGATGAACTACAGACTAAAAAGAAAACCTACAAAACCTTACTCAGGACGAAAATCAGATCTACAGACCAGCATTTTCCAACTCTTCTCATGCTCCTCGCTGAGTTCTTGCTCCTCACCAACCTGTACTCGATCTCCGGATCATCGGCAAATGGGATGGAATCGCAAGACATCGACGGCATCAAGGAGATTCCGACGGCTGTTGGGTTTTTCTAGAGAAAATTAGCACTTTTTCTCTATCCCTCTCTCTCTCCCTCTCTCTCTCGCTCCCTCTCTCTCTCGCTCCCTCTCTCAATTACCTTAATTTCCTGGCCCGTAATTTCCCTATCTTCCGGAATCCTAGACAACGACGTTGAGCGGGTGACCCTCTTGAACTGGATGGCATCAGGGTGGACCTGAATAGAATATGTTGTACGCGCCGCGGATGCGTTGCGTCTACTAACTATTAACTTACCCTCCTCCTCGTCCCGATCATCGTATAAATCGGCGTGTCCTGTGCAGCAACCAAGTTATCAAGGTTCTCAAGCAGTTTGGGCACGCCTGGTTTCCCTGGTAGATGATCATCCTCATGCTCATCCTTGTGCTCATCCGCCTCTTGGGGTGGTGAAGGGAGGGGCGGGGAGGAAGAGGTGGACCTCCGAACCTCGAGCGTCACTTCTGGCTCCTCTCGACGAGCTGGAGGTGGAGTTGGAGGAAGAGGTGGAGGTGGTGGGCTGGGAAGTTGACTACGCTCGATCCTCGGGCTCATGGCTAAAATATAGAAATTTTAGGTACCGTGATCCTAAAGAATCTTTGCTAGCTCTCCTGGCAGATTTTACTGTTTCATTAATGCGCCTACGATGTACGACTCACTCCTATTGACGATAAAAGCCTGTTGCGGCTCCGGCTCCATAGATTCCCTGGCGACAATCTTCTGAATTGGTGTCGAAGCAGTGGAGGCATACGATTCCGCTCCGCTCCTATCCGCTACGGGATCGTTAATAAACAACGGCTCGTCCGGGTCGGTGGGTAAAATCGGGTTCCCGTAGCTTCGAGTACCCGGAGCTACCGTAATCCCCAGTACATCCGGTCTGCTTGGCCCGGGAAGGTCGAAGCGGAGTGTGGGCGTCGGCTGAAAAATCGATTCATGCAAAGTTGCATTAGGTTAATTTTGAAAAGAGGACCGGAAATCTTCCAAACAATTTTTTTCGAAAACAAATTGGATATCGAAAGTCGTATTTTCCAAAAAAAATCCTTCTCGAAAAAACTCGAATAATTCGAAAAACCGGCCTCCGAAATCACGATCCCAAAAAAAAATCGAAATTTTTTCAAAATACCGATTTTCAATAAAATTACCGTCGTTGTACTGCCAGAAGCCGTTCTGGTTGCTGTACTCGTTGAAGTCGTCGTGGATGCCGTAGATGAGGCGCTGGTAGATGAAATAAACGACGTTGAAGCCATTTCCCGAAGTAGACTTGGTCTTCTCGGGACAGGCAGTGCGAGCTCGTCCAGCTCGAAGTAGCAGAGTTGCTGCGTCGATTGGGCGGCTCTAAAAAAATATCTATTTTATCTATGGATTTTTGGCTTCAACGGCCCTTAAAAAGCCATAAAAATTATTATACCTTTTCCTCGGGTCGTCATAGACATGAGATTTTACATTGACGACGGGAGGGGCGAGGGTGCCTTAAAAATGGCTTAACAAAATTTATTTTCGAGTTTTAAAAATTAGTTTTTGCGCATCAATGAGAGTTCGTAGTTCTTCATATAATTTAATAAAAATAAAAATACCTTTTGGGTGGAATTGAAGCGGCTTGGTGCGGTGAAGCCCGCGAGGTGGTAAGCTTTGAGAGCGGGAGAAGGAAGTCGAGGGCTGAGGAGAGGCTTGAGGGCTGAAAATATCTCTCTCTCTCTCTCTCTCTCTCTCTCTCTCTCTCTCCGTCTCGTCCTACCTAAACGGTCCATATCTAGGAATAGGCGGCGGCGCCTCAGAAGATGAACTGCTGCTGCTGGCGGCCGAGGTGGTAGAGAGCGGTCCGAGACGTTCAGCTAAATTCAAAAATTGTAATCTATCCAAAATTTGGGACTCCAAAATGATTTCTGCTAGCTACCGGCCCTTAAAGGGACGGCGACAGTTATCCAAAAACTCGCTTCTTCTCAGATTCGATACGACGACCCTCGGGGGCGGCAAGTCCAGAATCGATGGTCGGTTGACGCCAAAAATCGTCTCGGCTTTCTAAAAAGAACGATTTTGCAGGCATTGGGATACGGTCGGACTACGGTAAGCTGGAGTGATATGTAGCATAGCTACGTTAGGCTACGGTAAGTTACTGTATGCTACATTAAGGTGCGATGATGGAAATCGGGCTACAGTATGACAGAATAGTACGGCAGGATACGTTAAGTTTACGACAAGATACAGTATGCTGAGGTAGTGCATGGTCATGGCAATCTATCGTAAGGTACTATAGAATACGCTAGGATACGGTAAAGCATACGGTAGACTACGGTGTACCACACTACCTTTACCGGAATCCTGACCGGCTCTCGATAGAGACTCCTCCGTCTCCTCTCCTCCTCCAGATCTTCCTGTCGGTTCAGAAAACTTAGGTGTCTATAGGAACGTTACGTAGTTTTCGATGAATAACCGCCTACCGTAACAATTCCTCCCGAGACATCGGCCGCCCAGTTCTTTTCTCCAACTCGTCGCTTTTTGCCTAGAAATGGATGTGCGATCATTAGTTTGTGAATACGGCGCCCTACCTTGTCATTGCGGTATGAAGTCTCGGAGACGAGGGAATCCTCACTTTCTGCCAATGGGGACACTACCATGTCTTCACCGTAATGACGGATGTTCTCGTAGGTGTCACTAAAGGGAATGGCTGTGAAAATGATTTTGAGTTGGAGCGAGCGAAAGGGACAGAGAGAGGGGCCGAGAGAGTGCGAGAGAGTGCGAGAGAGCGAGGGCAAGAGTGAGAGAGAGAGAAAGAGAAAGATAGAGCGAGAGAGTGCGAGAGGGCGAGAGCGAGGGCAAGAGTGAGAAAGAGAAAGAGAGAGAGAGAGAGAGAGAGAGAGAGAGAGAGAGAAAGAGAGCGTGGAAGCACGAGAGAATGAGAGGTATTCGGGAGGGAACCGAGCACGACTAAGTGACAGAGCTTGAGCCATGGATAATCAGGAATACGATAGATCGGGACTGAGAAAGAGAGAGAAACTGAGAGAGACCCAGAGAGAAAGAGAAAGAGAGCGAGAGAGAGAGTGAGACAGAGAGAGAGAAAGAGAGAAGAGTTAGATTTTTGTCCGTCTGTACACACAGCTCCCCTGTACACGACACATCCTGTGCATTTATTGCCCACCACCCCAAAAAAACACACGTCCGTCCAGAAACCGTTTACTCCAAAAAATTGTAAAAAAGTTCGGGGGATAATTTGGGGGTTCGGGTCAGCTGAAAAACACACTGATTATGATGGGGGAACCTGGATAAAATCGGGGGAGAAATCTAAAAAACACGGCAGTCGGTGTAATTTGTATTTTTGGGGAATTATGAAGCACGAAAAATGAAGGCGTTTGGTCCATAGGTGTGGTAAGTACTGTGGAAAATAAAAGTAAGTTTGGACTAGCAGATGATTTATTTTTATGCAGCTTCAAAATTGTTTTGTGGATTTTAGTAGATTTTAGTCTGACAAAAAACTGGACATTCCTTTGGGATGCTAATTAGAATTCGGGGGCTGGTTAGGAAAAAGTTTTGCCGGGCAACTGAACGAACGGGCGTTTTTCCGAGACAGGTGCAGATATGCAAATTAGGTGTGTGCGTGTGTGTGGATGCGAAAAGGTTTTGGAAGGTTCCTAACAAGGAGTGCTTTTTTTGAGTCATCTGCAAAACCTTACAAGACCTAGCTCATTCGATAGAGAATTCGATTCTGAACAAAACCCCGTTGTTCCTTTTTGCAGAATGGCTATCCCTGATTTTATAAAATTAAAAGACTAGTGACCGACTCTTACCATGAGCGCCTTTCGAGCCAAAAGCGAGGCTTTTGGGTGCAGTTTTAAAATTTTATAAAATCAGGGATAGCCATTCTGCAAAAAAGAACAACGGGGGTTTTGTTCAGAATCGAATTCTCTATCGAATGAGCTAGGTCTCGTAAGGTTTTGCAGATGACTCAAAAAAAGCACTCCTTGTAAGTAGGCTTAGGCCTAGGCTTCGGCTTAAACTTGGGCTTGGGCTTAGTCTTGGCTTATGATTAGGGCTTGGGGTAGGCTTAGGTTTAGGCTTAGGCTTAGGTGCTTAGGTGTTGCTGGGAGTTTCTGAAGTCCAAGTTCGCAGATAAGCTAAGCATAAGCTAAGCCTAAGCTCAGCCACAAAAACCTAAGCCTAAGGTCTTCCCAATTTCCCTATTGTGCAGGTGCTACTTTTCTCTGTTTGTGCTGCTCGATTCAGGTGACTAGAAAAGAGAGAGTGTGGGTGTAGCGTGGATATCGTGAATGAGAATTCAAATGCAAAGATGTGGAGGCGAAAATCGGGGGGTCTAAAGGGACGGTGACACAACACGAGGGGGGCGGGGCTTGTCTCCGAAAATCCCTCACAAATGGCCGATGACGTTGCCGAGCGGGTCGCGGGTTTGGTAGAGGCGGAAGATTTCGCCCTTGCTGTCCATCAGGTCTAGAAAAGAGCTTAAAAAAAAGATAATTTTTCCCAAAGTATCTTTGCTAGTTTGCTCATGGCAGGGCAAGCTAGCAGAGACAATTTGAGGAATTTCCATACCTGCATTCTCGGTCCTGGGCCCAGTATCCTGTACAAAAAGGCCATCTCGAGAAGCGGATCTCCCGGTCTGCTGAATCGGGCTGTGACTGCGGTTTCGGCGTTCCTGAAAATTCCTTATTTCTTAAAAATTTCCACAAAATTCTCTGCTGGTTTGCCTACTTTGGAAGCTGCTAAAAAGAGATCACTGCTAAATATAGGTCCAGATAAAAATCCGGCCACATGATCTCTGCTAGCCGGCCCAATGCGAGAATTTGATTTCGAACTTGCCCAGGCTCATTGCCTAATTTTCAAATAGTTTCTGCAAGCTCCCAGCTCCCAGCCATTTTTCCCAAAAGTTCTCTGCTAGCTCGCCTGGACCAACTACTTTCCTAAAAGATCCTTCCTTGCTAGCCTGCCCGATCAGTTTTGCGGAATTCCCAAAAATCTCTGCTAGCTTGTCTGCTCTCTTTTCTCCAACTGTTTGTGTTACGTCGCCCGATTTGGCTATACCGATTCCCGAAAGATCTCCGCTAGCTTGCCCGATCAACTATGCGATTTCCACAAAGAATCTCTGCTAGCCTACCCTCAGATCTAGCTTCAAAGCTCTAAAACTTACCAATTCATGATGAGATCTACGATGCCGGGGCCGATGCCCGCTTCTGGCTCTTCGTTCAGAGGTTGTGGTGGTTTCCTCGCGTTTCTTTACCTAAACATTGTCCCAATTACCGTAACCCAGGTTTTTTCACCTCGACAAGGCGTCCTCGACGCTCCTCGGAACGCCTGGGAGCCATGTAGTCACCAGAATCGGAGGTGTCTACTTGGAGTGGGCCTCGGATGTGGCTGGAGAGTGGATTTTAGATAAGTCTGTCTCTCTCTTTCTCTATTTATCTCGCTCTCTCTCTCACCTCTCCATTGGCACCCTCTCTACCGTAATTGGTATGTTCCGACCTCGATACCGCGCCTCTGGTATTGGCGATCGACTTGGTTCCCATCTGAAATTCCCAGATAAATTTTTTTAGTGTTTTTAGCACTTCTTAAATTATAATTTTACTACCGCCACCCGACACCCGATACCTAATCGTGTCTGTGCGCTCGTAGGCGGCGAGCGAGTTTCTATAACAACTTGCCGACAGAGTCCGAGAGGGAGCGGGAGAGAGAGAGAGAGAGGGAGAGAGAGAGAGAGAGAGAGAGAGAACGAGAGAGTGAGCAAGACCTTGATGATAACCAACCTCTCGTCGAACGTGTTGAGGACGGGCACGACGGCCTGGCTGGGATAGGCGGGTAGAGGCGATCTAGAAATTCTTGACTTGCCAAAACGTTTAAAAGTTAGAGAAGAAGAGCGAGAGAGCCAGAGAGATAGAGAGAGAGAGGAGAAAAGAACAAACACCAACCTAGGAACAGGTGATGCTCGATACGGCTCCTCCAACACGGGGCTCCACTGAACCCGGGGCCGTTCCATCACTTCCGGCACGTCGTTGATCAGGGTGGCGGTTCTGAACTTGTTGGTGACGCTTGGAAAGGAAAAAGACCCTCAAGTAGTCGGATAGGGCGATTTACAACAAACCTTGCAGTGGTCCACCTCTCATATGGGGCTCCATTAGCCCGAACGAGGTGAGCACGATCGTCAATGCCAGGTGGTGGGGGGAGGACGATACGCTCCGGGCGGTCATTGTCGATTGGGGTGCGGAAGACCTGGAAAAAGAGGAGGGTGGGTTTTAACTGCCGGAGTATGAGGGGAGCTTGAGCAACAGTCTTAGCATGAGCGTCTCACCAGATTGAGCACCACGCGCGACATAAGACAGAGCTCGAGCCTGTTCAAAAGCTGCAGCGCACTGCGATCCTGACTGGAGCACGAGCTTTTGAGCATGACTTACCTCTACAGTAGTTGTTGTGGTGATCTGATCATTCAGCACACCGTCGCCACCTCTGGATATCCGTTGGGCTTGCGAGTCTGGGATCTAAAAGTTGAATTTTAGTAGCAGTACCGTAATTTGATGATAGTAATGCTATGTAAAAGGCATTATAAATGCTGTACAAAATTGACCTGTATTTGCCCGCGGCTGTGACCTCGTTGAAGCGGATAGTTGGGCGAAGGCTCGATTCGGCGTACTTCGGTAGGGCCCTGAAGAGAATCACGTGGATTGGGGGTCTAAGCTAAGCCTATGCTAGGCCTAAGCCAGAGCCCGAGCTCTTGCTCACCGTTTGGAAGACGTTGAGCGTCACGTTGTCAGGCGGGAACATATCATCGGGTGGACTGTCCCGTCCATCGAACCGCATTTCCGGGGAAGGCGGCCGCATTGGGGAGACCGACGTGTGCCGCGAGTCTGAAAACCTGGTTTTAAACCGTAATACAGTACTACCGATGATAAAGTAAGCGTAAACAAGAAAACTCTTGGTTTTGTCAAGTTAATAAAACGATACCTCGCGCTACTGGTCGATACGAGAGCGCGCTATGCGGCCTCGAGTCGATGGCCAGGGTTGATGGATGGGTTAGTGGATATGGGCCGGAAGTGGATGGCCATCCAGATGTGTTCACCATCGATTGTTGAGACCCTGGAAAACACGGCAAATTGTTAGAAATTAAAAATTAGTCAAGTTTTTACATTGGGCTGGCTTGCATGGCTTTTTGGAAACCTTTTTAGCGTCTCAAACTAGGGAGGCAAACTTACAGGGATCCTTGTGGATTTAGAAAACTCGACCCCAGAAAACTCTGGGGTCTCAGGGTAGGCTAGTAGAGGTCATTTAGGAAGCGGGCGAGCTGGCAGAGATTTTTGGAGATCGGGGCTAGCAGAAACCCTTAAGAAAGGCAAGCTAGTAGAGACCACTTATGGGAAAAGCAAATTAGCAGAGACCCTTTTGGCAAAAGGCAAGCTAGAGAAAACCTTCTAGGAAAGGGCAATCGAGCAAAGTTCATTGGGGATGAGCTAGATAGCAGGGCTGGCAGAGACCCTTAAGGGATTATAGCAAGCTGGCAGAGACCATTTAGGACTGGGTAACTTAGCAGAGATGATTTGGGAAGTGATAGTCGAGCAGAAATCATTTAGCAAGAACGCAGGCTAGCAGAGAGCTTGCCGGAATTTGGGAAAGCTAGCAGAGACCATTTCGGGGAGGGCAGGCCCGTAGGGATCACTTAGGAATTAAGCGGAGAGAGGGGGAGAGAGAGAGAACCCTATAATAACTTACCTAAAGGCGAATACTCCTCCTCCGTCAACCGAATCTCGCAAAATCCAGAATAGTCAAATTGGCGTCTCGCCATTGCCATTTCAGGTGTGTCCACTGTGTCCTCCAGGGCCAACCGGATGCCCACCGCATATCCGGCACCCGGCATATATTTCAGAGCCCCGGCTGGCGATAGAGCGATAGAGGCAGAGCGGCGCGAGACAGAGTGAGTAGAATATCTCAAGTCGCGTGAAACACGATCCTAGGGCTCTTCTGAGGGGAATGGAGTCTGCCACGGGGGTGAGAGCTAGTAGAACAAGCAGATAAAACAAATAGATGGCTGCCAATGGGTGGGATGTGTCAAGCAGCTAGGGCAAAAGGGGGAATATAATGGCTGAAAAACGGGCTGCTATTTTCTGGGGGCTTCCCATTGAAATTGAACACCAGGCGCGCCACTGGGAAAATAGAACGGCTGGTTGGGAACGATGTTGTTTTCCGCTTTTTGTGTATTTTGGGGTTGCTGAAACTAGGATCGGCATCAGAATTTTGAGGAGGTGGTGTTTCTCGTCTTCTCTCTCTCTCTCTCTCTCTCTCTCTCTCTCTCTCTCTCTCTCTCTCTGCTCTCTCTCTCTCGCTCTTTCCATCTCTCTCTCTCTCTCCATTCTCTTTACCTTTCTCTCTCTCTCCTTCTCTCTCGCTCCCCCCTCTCTCTCCCTTTATTTGGCTCTCGCTGTGTCTTTTCTCTTTTAATCAGTATCTCTCTCGTTCTCGCTTTTTCTGTATACTTCTCTCTTTTCTCTCTCTCTCGCTCGATTCCTCTCCCTCCTTCCAATTCCTAAATAATCTCTGCCAGAATGCCAATTCCTAAATATTCTCTGCTCGCTTGCCCCGATTCCATAAGGCCCTCTGCTAGAATGCCATTCCTTAATGTTGCCCCATTTCTCAAATGATCTCTGCTAGATCGCCTGTTCCCAAATAATCCCGGCCAAACGGCCAAAATAGATTTTAAAGGAACTGGTAAGGCAACGGAAAAAGCTTTAAATCCGGTTACGCACGCATGAATCGTTAAGAAAATCCGAAAAACGGCATCATCTCGACACAAAAAAGAGTTAGGAACGTCTAGGAGTATCAAAAACAGGACAAAACCACGCCATCACTCAAAGAAAAATATGAAAATAGACAGATTCCATCCATATTTGTCATTTTTCGCTCTTTTAATACTTTTTTAGTTAAATCTAATAGCTTACGCGATGATTTTCGGCTCGGAGCATCTCCTTGGATGGCCGAGTGGACGATGAGGCCATTATGGGGGCCGTGGGCGGTGATTGTTGTGCGGAGGTTGATCACCTGGAATTTGGCTTAGGCTTAGGTGCTTAAGCATAGGCTTGGGGTTCGGTTTAGGTTAGGCTTAGGCTTAGGCTTCAGCTCTTAAAGGAATAGTGAAGTCAAATTCCTACCATATGCCCGGAGCCACTCGATCGCCGGGACTTCTCATTCCGGCTGCCGCCGTGGTGGCGAGAGCGCCGCTCCAATTCCGCCGATTTGGCTATGGTCTGGAATCGGGAATTAGTTTAAGAAAATTCGCATAAATCCAAGAAAGGCAGAAAATAGACCTCGGGATTTGGAAAAAAAATGGAATTGTAGAGCTTTCTGCAGAGGGATAAGCGTAAACAATTAAGGTTCCGGCTCGTAAAAATTGTCTTAAAACGAGAGAGCAAGAGAGGAAAAAAAGAACTAGAGAGAGAGGGAGAGCGCAAGAGCTAGAGAAAAGGAGGACTATAGACGCTTATTTCCCATTAAAGGAACACTGAAGTATTGCCCGTTTCCAGGCTTCTCAAACAGAATTTTTGCAAAAAAAAAGAAAAAAGACAGAAATTTTTCATGTTTAAAGGACCATTGAAGGCAAATCTCGTGCCTAATGGAGATATAATTTCCATTTAAAAAATAGCAAGGGCATGTATTCTAGCCATGTCAAGCGTACAGACGCGGAATTCCGGCCCGTTCCCGCCCCGATAATCGATGGTCGAAACCGGGGAACCGGAGGGGGGATGGAAACGCGGACAAACAGAAAAGCCCCGTCCGCTAGCGGGTGGGGCCGTTCCAAAACCATTCCGCGACGATCCGACCCGACAAAACAATATGGCAATTTCTATAGCTCGAATTCGGCATTATTTAGGACAAAACTGTCGGAATTTCGAAACGCGCGATTTTCTTGAAATGAAAATTGATCAATGGAACGTTGGGATGCAAATAGGCCAAAATAGGTAGCTTCCGAAGTGAGTTACTAACTTTAAAGCTCGAAAAGATATCCGAATTCAAGGGACCTACAAGGGAAGACTATGGCTTCCTCACGATTATGCCTTGCAGGCCCCTTTAGAGCTTCTAAAAGTACGCTGAAGTCAAAAAATGGCGTGTCAAAACTCATTCCGGCGAAAAATTCTTTGTCGGCATTTCGACATGTCGAAATTTCCTTTTTTCCTAATTTAAAATTTTCGGCATTGTTCGTACAGTTTCGGAATTTCCGAAACCAGGCGTAATTTGTGGAAATGTATGTTTATCGAGATTTTATTTTGTCGAAAATGCATGTAAAAAACATTTAGAAAACCCAAATTCCAATGTGAGTAAATTTCGCTAAATTATTCCGGTAAAATTGACGTCGACAAAGGAAATTTCGACAAACTGAAATTACGAAAAATGAAATGCCGACAAAAGAGATTATGACGAAAAACATTTTGACAAATACAAAATGAACTTTCGACAAAATTAAACTGGCACAAAGGCATTTTCGACAACATGGGTTTCGAAATACTGATAGTAATAAAATACAATAATAAAATACACAAAAAAACGTTTACTACTTCAAAAACACCGAAATTCTAAAACTAAAATCCCATGAATCACCCCCGGTCCATGCATGGAAAGGCGAGGGTGGGGGGGGGCTTTCTGTCTGTCTGTGTGTGTGTGTGTTGTTTGTGTGTTTGTATGTTTTGCGCGGAAAGTCGGGGACCCAGAGGGGTCGGCTATTTGCCAAAGAAACAGAGCGCCCCAGCGCCGCTCCGCTTCACTCCCCATGCAAATTCGGAGGTCCAGGGTGGGGGAAAGAATAGAGGCCCCGGAGGGTCGACTCGGGTTACATCACCACCCCCATTTTTGCGCCGCCCGGGTTTTCCATTTTTTACGCATTCTTCCGGTCGGTTGGGGAATGCGGAAAACCGGAAATAAAAAGCTATAAAAATTTTTGTTAATTTGGAATGATTTTACTGATTAAGGGCCAACTAGCGACGTTTTTTTAGAAATAGAAACGGCCTAGGCCAAATTCCGCGAGGAAGGCAAGCTAGCCAAGATTTTTTGGGAATTCGGGCGGAATTTTGTAGCAGCGCTAGGCTTGCAGGATTCATTTAGGTTCCGTCCGGATCCGTCCGGATCCGGATGCGCGTCGGATGTAATGTGGATGGAAGCGGAAAGACGAGGGTGGAGGGCAGATAGTGATAGCGCGGACCCTCAAGCGGACACGGACACTATATGATGGCTCCGTGTCCACTCAGCTCCGTCATCATCAACAAGACAGGCGACACAGAAATAGGCTGGCCCTCCAGGGGGCCGGGATGCGCTTTCAAAGGGACTGGGACGGCTGAATCTATGGAATTTCGACAGGACAAGCGTCTCATCAGAAAGATCCCAGAATTAGTATACAAGTTATGGATATGTAAGAAGCGTTAGTCGTCACAGTATTTCCAAAAAAAAATGAAAAATCGGTTTTTTACAATTACAATTTTGTTACAATTTTGCAATTTTTTAAAAGCTGTATTTGGTTCAGAATTTGTTTCTCTATCAAACAGAAATTGGTTCGTTGAAAGTCGTATTAGTCATGCGCTAAAAATTCGGGCAAACGGGAGATAGTAACGCTTGAGTCATCTAGACCATGTGGGGGGCTGGCGAGGAGATGAGTAATCCAAAAAGAGCCAAAACTCTGTATATTTCACGGATATAGAAAGCGATAGATGGAGAGAGAGAGCTAAAGGAGGGAGAGAATGAGAGCGAGAATGAGAGAGAGAGCGAGAGAGCGAGAGAGTTAGAGGTGCAAAAAATTTTCGCTAATCAGATAGCTAAAGCCTGTTGATCCCAGGTGTAAATATGAGTGTAAGGGAGCCGTAGAAAGCGAGAGACTGCCGAGACTCGATCTACTATATTGATCCTTCGAAATGTGCGGGTGGGAAGCAGAAGATAAGACGGCACCGCGGCTTCACACACACAATTCGCAAATAAACACGGCGATCCGGGCCGGGCACACGGCCAACTCCATCGGACGGGAAAATCAAGGCTCAGGCTCAGGCTTAAGGTTACGCTTAGGCTTAGGCTTGAGCTTGGGTTACGGCGTAGGCTTGGGCTTAGGCTTAAGGTAGGCTTAAGCTTAGGGGCTCTTGGCGATTCCCACACTTATTGGCACCTTTACAAGCCGTTTACAAGTCGTGGAAGGTAGAGTTTGTACGCAAAAACACCCCAAAAAAGGCAAGGGCATAAATATGCGCCCCAACTACGCCGCACTCCGCCCATTCTGAGCCCCATTTATCTCTTCCGTAAGTGGGCCACGTCGACGCCAAGCTTTTTGGCCGCAGAGCGAGCGAATATAGAAAGAAAAGCTCCAGGTAATACCAAAAATATCGAATATTTTTTCTGTTACTCTCTCTCTCGCTCTCTCTCTATCGCCCTCTCTCTCATTGTCTCTCTCGCTATGTCTCTCATTCGCCGACTCTCTCGCACTCCCACCCACACACGCTCTCTGTTTCTCTCTCTCTCTCTCTAACTGACTCTCTCACTTTCTCTCTCGCTCTCTCTCTCTATCGCTGTCTCTCTCTTTCTCTCGTACTAACTCACTCCTCCACAATGATCTTTGCTAGCTTGCCTTGTTTCCCCCAAGAATCTCTGATAGTTGTTCCTCTAATGCGTAATCCTAAATTGGGTTGAGAAGCTTTATTCCGTTCACTGTACACATCGACATAAAGCACCATGTTTGTAGCCGAGCTGTTGGTGTTATAAAAATAACAAAAAAAATGGGTTTAAAGGAGCCTGGAAGACAAAATTTACAGTAGTAAGTTGCACAAAATATTGCTGAAAATTTGGACACAGGGAAATACAAAAAATTCGAAGGCGAATAGGCACGAGATCAATCAATATTTGACAAAGAATATTCAAATTCGGACACTGTTTTTTCGAGCTGGACTAGCCGAGGGGTTAGGTTTCGCTTATCCTTAGGCTTAGCCTTAGGGATGGCTTAGGCTTAGCTTAGACTTAGGCTTACGCTTGGGCTTAGGCTTAGCCTTAGACTTAGACTTTGGCTTAGACTTCGCTTGGGCTTAGGCTTGGCTTAGGCGTAGGCTTCGGCATAGACTTCGCTTAGACTTAGGCTTGGCTTAAGCTTAGCTTAGACGTATTAACAAGCGAATCGAGGGGTGGCGGCGTAGGTGGAAGTGTAGTTAGAAGACACCGGCCTCGGCACTTCCGGTTGAGGCCGATTCGGGGGCAAGCATTGTGGGAGCAGGGCCGGTTGGTAGCCGTGTTTGTAACCGGATGGGGCCCTGGAATACGGTATTTTCATACGGTAACAATGACTAAAATTAAAATTTGAAAATCATGGGCTTGGAAATCGATTTTGATGATACCGGTAAGCGTCAAAAACCGACTTGTTGGCGCGGTATTGGTTGGAGATGATCAGTACGAGGCAGCACAGGCCGGCGACGGCGCCGAGGAACGGGTCGAGGAGGAGCTTAACATTTTTTTTGAGATTTACCGCTACGGCTACCGTACCTTAATGGCCGAAACGACATTCCACGATCGGGTCCAACCCATGGCTGGTTGGAGGATGTCGTGGAGGAAGGCGAAACTGAAAAAGGATTTTTAGAGAGAAAGAGAGGGAGAGATAGAGAGAGGGAGAGAGAGAGAGAAAGAGAGAGAGAGAGAGAGAGAGAGAGAGAGAGAGAAACTTACACATAGAAAAACGCCGCAACCAAGTAAATGCACCCAAAAAGCCCAAGATGCGATGGCTGTGGCTGAGCATTAGAATGTGGAGCCGGAGTGGCAGATCCGACCTGAAAAATATGGTTTATTTGGAATTTAGGCTTAAGCTTAGGCCTAGGCTTAGCTAGCTGTAAATAACCCACCAAGGAGCAGCAACCCGCGCATAGTGGAACGAAGACCACGAGGAACAGGACGCATTCCCGGAAAACCGGAAAGACCCCTTCCAGGACCTAAAAATAAACCTATCTTAAATTTCCTCATTTGCTAAATCATCTCTGCTAGCCTCCCCTTTTCTAAAAACAAATTTGTGTGAAAATTCCTTTAAAATACCGTAACCCACCTGGCTAGCCGCCCCGACGAGGCAAACCCCGGCCAGCGGATCCGCTTGGATACTTCGGGCCATTAGGGCCAACATGACCACGGCCAAAGGGAGGGCCCATGTGACGAGGACCACTTGGCGACGGTATTTATCCTGAAGGGGTGGGGATACGGTCGATTGGGTGCAACTTACAATGCTGGCAGTCTGGAGGGTGTTTTCTTTCCAGGCGAGGCACATCACGAACCACCAGAGACGACCGGCTGTTCCTGAAAAAAGAGACATAGAGAGTGCAAAGGAGAGAAAGAGAGAAACGATCAAGACCTAGAGCTAGAGCTGGAGAAATAGAGAGATACTGAGAGAGAGAGAGAGTTAGAGACAGAGAAAGAGGGAGAGAGAAAGAGAGAGAGAGAGAGAGCGGGAGAAAGCGGGAAAAGCGGCGAAAATATGAAAATCTTTGTGAATCTAGATGATTTTTAAAGCCAAGAGAATGTGCGAGAGCGAGCGAGTGCGAGAAGGAGAGAAAAGAGCGAGTGAGGGACAGAGAGAGGGAGAGAGAGAGCAAAAAAATCAGGGAAAACTAAAAAAATTCCTTTACCTAGATAAAACAAAGCAGCAGCCACGGCGGTACACGGTACGTGGGGTAACGCCGAGACGACGGACAGCACCTGGCCGGCGTAGAGCGTACAGGATACCTGAAGACAATCATTGATGTCATTCAAATCTAAAGCTTCTATCTAGCAAATAATCCCTGCTCGCCTGCCCTTTTCCCTCTTGCTCACCTCCTCCCTGTACAACATGCTGAACACGTAGATGATCGACGAGAACATGAAGGCGGTCGCGCTCCAGAGGAGGCTGAAAAATTTTCATGGTGAAGGTAGATTACGCCTAGCATTCGCGTCCCTTGAACCCAAATTTCTGGTAATCTACCTCTTCTCCGGGAACGTGGGCAAGACGTGCGGGCGAAAGAGGAAGAACAGGATCGATGAGAACGTGAACAACACCGACAATCCGCACAACGCCGCCAGGTAAGTTGTGGCCGAGTGGCGGTCCGTCTAGAAATTAGCTTGCTCTTTAAGGGAACTTGGAAGGAGGCTGACCTGGGCGAGGCCGTGGTTGAGGTTGCAGAGCGGAACGCAGACGCCGGTGCGGTTGAAGTAGAAATGGCCGGGGGAGCATTCGTTCGACGAGCCGGGGATGGTCAGGGGAACTGGTTGGGTCTACAAAAAGAATTTAAGCATAGCAGAAATCCTACCGGTTTCTGGGTCTCCTCCTCCGGGGGTTCGGTAGATGCCCATTGGGTGCCCGGGCCGGGCATGCACATCGTTTCCGCATTGTTTACTAGAAGATAAAACGTTGTGGGAGTGGTGATCATCTACCAACCTTTCGGCAACAGCGAGCAGTTCATATTTGGGGGCCAGTCGAAGCCGAAGTCGCGGAGGTATTGGAGGCAACTGCCGCGAACCGCTTCGCATACTGGGCGGCATGGACCGATGAGTTGGGCTGTCTGAAAGGGACGGTCATTAGTGCGTTGGGGTAGCGTAGTTTAGGCTTAGGCTCAGGCTTGGCTTGCGCTTGGCTTAAGCTTGCCTTAGGCTTCACTTCGCTTCACTTTGTTAGGCTTCGCTTAGGCTACGCTTACAAAGAGACGTTTTTGAGTGTCGTCGGGACTTTGGCATCGGACCAAGCCTATCTTGTGCAGAATTTTACGCTGATTCCGATTATCGTAACCGTTTTTGCGGAATAGCCATTTCTCGAAAGTTATGAACGATTTAAACCTCAAAACAGCCCAAAATCGGCTACTTCTGATAGTCATAAAAGGTTTCAGAATAGGTTTTAAGCAAAACCAGATAGTGCATCTTGTTCAGAAAAAATTCTCTATAAAATGTACCATCTTCTCCAAAATCATTGAAAAGTTGGAAAAATTTGATAAATTGAGAGGTCCATTAATTTTACAAAATTTTTCAAAATTCCAGCATTTTTGAGTTAAGTAGCTTATTTTATAGAGAATTTTTTTCTGAACAAGATGCACTAACAGGTTTTGTCTGAAACCTATTCCGAAGCCTTTTATGACTATCGGAAGTAGCCGATTTTGGGATGTTTTGCGGTTTAAATCGTTCATAACTTTCGAGAAATGGCTATTCCGCAAAAACCGTTACCATAGTCGGAATCAGCGTAAAATTCTGCACAAGATAGGCTTAGTCCCATGCCAAAGTCCCGACGACACTCAAAAACGTCTCCTTGTTAGGCATAGATTTAGGCTGAGGCGTAGGCTTCGCTTCGGCTTGGTTTAGGCCTAGGCTTAGGATTGTTAGGCTTAGGTTTAGGCTTAGCCTCAGCTCCGAACAAGCGCAGGCTTGGCTTTTGCTTAGGCTTAGGTTCGGACTGAGCCGGGGCTTCGCTTACGCTTTGCCTTAGGCTTGGGCTTAGGCAGGCTTAGGGGATTTCCTCACCTTATCGTTACACATCGGAAAGTGGAGACTGCACAACAAAAACTCAAGATCGGCATGGCACTTGATCTTTATCAGAGCGTCGAAGCTGCGCACGCGATCCCCGGCCGTCTTCGCGTTCTCGTCGCCCAGCAGGTTGGGGAAGCTGAAAAAAGTAGATGAACAAGAATCGGTTTTTAAGCGTTTTTCGGAATTGTGGAGCTCTACATATTTCCCTTTAATTAATTTCTTATTAATTTGATTTATTTTTAATTCAATTTAATCGTTAAATATCCAATTTCACAACCCCCGCCTCGCAACACCCCCAAAAAACCCAAATTTCGGGGTTTTTCAGGGTCAGGCGAAAGTCAGGCTGGCACCCGCCGGGCGACTCATCCAGCTGCGCCCCGCACGGTCTTTTGTCTTCTCGAGGACGACGGATAGGCAGACAGACAGACAGACAGAGCTGCTGAAGACGGACAGACAGACACTACTCACGCACATGGCCCTGCCTTGCCTCCCTTCATGCTCCTAAATTCCTGATGAGCATCAACATTTCTCGTGATGGATACGGCAAGAGCAACATTTGGCAAAGGTTTCTCGGGCAGATGGGTGATAATTTGAGTTTTAAAGGGGTTTTAAAAGTAGAAAAGGTCAAAATCCCCTCTCTCCCTCTTACTCTCTCTCTATAGCTCTCTCGCTCACTTTCTATCGCACTCTCACTCTCTCTCTCTTGCTCTATCTCGCTCACTCGCTCTCACCCTCTTTCTCTCTGTTTCTTGCTATATCTTTTCTTGCTCTCTCTCTCTCTCTCTCTCTCTCTCTCTCTCTCTCTCTCTCTAAGACAAAAATTTTTTTGGTCTAAATTCCCCGAATTACTACTTCTTAAACGCTCCGAAATCTGGTCCACGGCCCCTGCTGTGATTCCTGGCAAATAGCCAGATGCGGCCGCAGCGCGACCGCGCCGCATGGTCTTTTGCGCCTGTTTGGACGCGAAAACGCTTGAATTAAAAGATTCTTTTGTTATTTTTGGAATCTTCACCGAATTTTGATCATTACAGACTTTTAGATTATGAAAATTGATCAGGAAATCACCGAGATCGAGAGATTGGGTGCCTTACAAGGCATTACGACATGTAATCGCCGCCCACTCAAAATGTCGTTTTCGCCCAAAAAAGAATTCGGTTTTTCTCAAACTTTTTACGTTTTTTCGCAATCAAATTACTTTTCTGGCACTTCTCGGCAGTGACCCTTGCGTTTTTTGACCCGTAGGTGCAATCTCCGCACCCACGAATTTTGACTTCTGAGCCCCTTTAAGGGCTACCGTATGCCATTCACCCTTCCCTCTAAACACCCCATTAATGGGGTCGTAAAATGGGGTGTGCGGGCTCCCGGGTAATTTCGCTCTACCGCATGGAGACTAGGATGGATTACGGTAGCCATCCGATTACGACGCTAAAATTTTGAGTTCGCCAATGATCTCTGCTCGCTTGCTCTGTCTATTAATGCATCCGCAGACTCGGAAATGTTTTCTGTTATACGCTCTCCGATCCTAAATACTCTTCGCTAGCTTTCCTTCCTATTTTTATGCCTATTAGTGCGCTCATCTCCCAAAGAATCTCTGCCGCCTCACCCGAACGCCTCCAACAAGTGCCAATATTTTTTGGGGGTCCCAAAGGGCCCAGTGTGGGGTGGCCCAATTATCCGGTGGCCCCAGCGAGCAGAAGGGCCAGTGGGTGGCTTGTGTCCCTTCAGGGGGCCATATATCGTAGCCTGCCGTCCTGGACGCGGGGCTGATCTGGGGGCCCTCTTGGCCCTGCTTTGGCCCCTTCTCCTTGGGGCCCCACCCCCCTGAAATATGGCCCCCACTTCCCGGCCGCACATCGCAACCCCCCTTCGGATTGGGCCCAATTATCGATTTGATTGGGATGGCCAAGGAGTAGTGGAAATTTGCATAAATAGGGATAATAAATCGGAAAAGCAAAAAGCAAAAATTTGTCGTCGGGCGGGATTGAACCAGGGTCGTGTGGGCGGGAGGCGAGAGCTTAGCCAATTAGCCATGAAGCTTGCCTTACTGGGCAAGCTAGCAGAGATCATTTAAGAATATCGGGTTTCTTAGCCTGATTTCCGATAAAATCTATGCGCCCTAACCTTTTTGCTACGTGAGACGAGAGAGAGTGAGAGAGACATACAGAGAGATGGAGAGAGATAGATAGAGAGAGTCAGAGAGAAGGAGAGAGTTAGAAAGAGAGCGAGAGAGTGCGAGTAAGAGAGAGAAACCGAGCTTTCTCTGCCCAAAAGTAATCTTCCGCACTGAGCATGACCAGTAGCACCCTAGCACACTACCATTTACCCACAAGCCAATCCGCTCATTTTTATCGAAAATTACTCCACTACTGATTTTGTATGATAGACGAAGCTCGAGCTCTTGCTCCTCCTCCCTGGCCATCACTCATCATCCCCCCTTCTGGTGGTCAAAGCCATATCTTTTGGGGGTGTTGGTGGTGGGCGTCGTGTGCGCCCGTAAATCAGCAGAATGTGAGGCGCACCCCACCACAGAGATACACACGACCCACAGACAGACAGACCGACAGACACTCGTTCGCGTCTCAAATCCCCCCAACTATCACCCATTACGACGAGAGGGGTGTGGATTGACCTGGTGACACCTTATTGTTAAAATTGAAGGGACCGCGAAGTTGCTGGGGTCGGCTTAGGCTTGGTTTAGGTTTGGCCTTACCTAAGCTGAGCCTTATCACCCCAGGCCTAGCTTCAGCTTTGACGCGACTTAGGCTTGGGTGTGAGGTTTGGCTTAAGAATAGGCTACGGCATGGCTTAGGCTTAGGCTTAGGGTTCGGATTAGTCTTGGCTTAGGCTTAGCTTAGGCTGTGCAGCCCGTCAAGCTCCCCTCAAAACGAGCAGCAGGCCCATAATTTCAAAATGCCAGGGCTTGAGAATTCGGCAGGAGCCTAATTAGCATATTTATTGCAAGTGCGTGTAGAAACGACGCCTTTATTAGCTAGCGAATTTCTCTAGGCTTCCTAAAAGATATCTGCTAGTTTGCCATTTTTTCATCTTTGAGCAGAAACAAGGAATTGTCTTGTTTGAATTTTTTGAATTTCGAGACATTCGAAACCTGGCGCTATCGATTTTTTCCTGCCAAGTCCCTTTAAAATCAAAGTTTTCGCATTTTTTGTGCAATTTTCAACAAACGATCCCCTGTATCGCCAGTACAAGAAGGGAGGCGTTAGAAAGGGGCAAGGCAGAACAGGAGGGGGTCTGTTGTGTGTGGCTGTGAGAGCTGGGCGCGCACGCAGATCGAGTGATTTATAGAAGTCACAGCCTCCCCCTCCCCACACACACACACCCGC